TATATTAAATGTTTTTTAGCCATTTTATCGCCGGCGTACAGACAGGAGGAGCATGCTCTCATAGAATGGCAGAATTAGCGAAAGGTTGCACAATCCCAGGAGAGGCTCAGCTCACTGCTGCCTCACCGGCTTCGCTTCTGAGCATTTGAATGGGAAAATGCGAAAATCCAGCGATTTTGAAGAAAAAAAAATCATCAGAATTGGGTAAGCTAAGTAAAAAATAGGTACTTTATAGTACAAACCACAGGGTGAAAATAGCAATATACATGATTTTATTATTATATATTATTTTTCCATGACGACAGGTGAGGCTCTGCCTCACCTGCCTCCCCTGACCGCACGTCACTGATATATATATATATAATATTATGTCTGTGTGTCATAATCTGTTTCTTGAAGGAGTCATCTTTTTTTTTAAATCTATTTATAGTTACCTCTGTGCCAACACTTGTTCAGTTTTTATTTTCAGATTTCCTGTGATGCAGAGAGAGAGAGAAAACTGAAACTCTGATTGTTATACACAGTTAAATTATATAAAGATTTAGGAAACATATTTTGTCATTTGTTGGCTTTAAAGAGAAATTGGGATGCTTTACATGTTGACCTGAAGTCGCCTCAGAGTCCCTGATGTGGTTTCAACAGTAACCAGGTTATGATGTCATGTAAACATTACAGCCAGTGTTTTGGAAAATGGTTATAGGTTTTCAGAGTGGTTGATTTTTTTTTTTTTTCCCCAAGATCTCAAAAAAAATTCTGAGCATCACTACCTTGTTTATTTTAAAGTCGCTTTTACAGGCTCCTCATAAATCATGAAAAATATATTTTTGTGTGTCAGTCCATCAACTCAAATGTTGGACGGTCTCTGGGAGTTAAGAGTACGAGTTGCCCCCTGCTGGTCGTTTTAAATAATGCATACTTTGGTGTTCATTTCTTTTAGTTACCTCGAGGGTTTTACAGTGTGCGAGTGTAATCTATTTTATTACAACACTTTTTCCAATTACATCCATTAAATTAGCTTAAGGTTGGCAAAGCACTTTAACAACACCACAGTTGGTGTGCTGTGGTGGCGTAGGGGCAAAGCACAGCCCACATATGGAGGCCTTAGTCCTCGACATGGCCGTCGCAGGTTCGATTTCCAACATTAGTATTATTATGCGACCTTTGCCGCATGTCTTCCCCTTCTCTCACTTCCCACTTTCCTGTCAATTAACTATCAAATTAAGGCCACTAGAGCCAATAAAACCTTTTAAAAAAACACCACAGTAAACATTTAAAGTAGCAGCCATTGTTTTGTTTTTTGCTCTTTTAGAGAATTACATGGGATCACATGTGGCTGAAGGGCAATTTGTGGCCAATTTAAAACAAAAACACACACACAATTAATTTTATATTGATGAATCTTCTAATGTTTGATGTGTGAGTTTTATTTGTTTTCACTGAGTTAATTGGTTTGTAACCTCCTCCTGCCTCTGTTTGTGTTTTTCTCTCTCCCTGTTTTCCACCTGTGTGTCCGCCTGGTGGTTTCCAGCCGTCAGAACCAGACGAAGGACCAGGTCCAGCAGACCCTGGTGTCCCCGGGTCAGCTCCCAGAAGAGGCCGAGTGTCTCACCGTGCCCAAGTACAAGCGAGACCTGGTCCAGAAGCTGAAGATCCTGCGCCAGGAGCTGTCCCAGCAGCAGCCTCAGGCCGGCCACTGTCGCATCGAGGTGTCCCGCGAGGAGATCTTTGAGGTCAGTGCGCCACCTTAAGCCGTCTTGGACTGTAATCGCAAAGTAGAACGTACAGTGCCTTGTAAAAACGGTATTTATTCCCTAGAGGCGTTTCACATTTTGGCACATGACGATCCGCAAGCTGAATTTTATTGGGCACATACCGTCGTGGAGGGAAAATTGTGGACGGTTTTGAAATTTTTAGAATAAAAATGTGGAGCATGTTGTTCTTATTTATAACTGCAACATTGCTCAGGTCTTCTGTGTATAAAACTTCATATTTTGACACCAAAATACTAGAAAAATAGTTTGGTCTCAGTCAGTCTGGTGTTTGTAAACATCAAACTTCAAGTCTTGCCACATATTCTCAATTGAATTTACATCTGGGCTTTGACTGGGTCATTGTGGATGCTATAAAGACTAAACCAGTAAATTTTGTTATAATCTTACCTGAGAACCGTCATTTCGTATTCCCTGTTTAAAGGTCAGCTTTGTGTCGTCCAGGATTTATTAGTTATTAAGCTTAATTTAAAGGAACTCAGTGTTTTAGCAGTTTTGCTGTTTTCTGGAAATTTGTTCCAGATTAGTGGAGTATAGAAAACAAATGCTGCTTCTCCATGTTTGGTTCTGGTTTTGGGGATGCAAATTAGACTAGAACCAGAAGACCTGAAGCTTCAGATTTGGTTTTGTAACACAACCGGACTTGATAGCGTTATCTCGACATGTCTGCTTGGTCTTCTTGATGCTGGTCATTCACCAGCAAACAAACAAAAAAAAAAAAACAATGATTCCTTCACAGAACATCTAGACTTACACTGAGAATAAATGGCACACAGCTGGACTCTGTTTACTAATATGTGGTTTCCGGAGCCGATTGTTTGCGCTGGATTTTGCTTAGCAGTATCCGGGTAAATGGGGCTAAATATAAATGCATGCATGACAGCTCGTCATGGAAAGAACATCCATTCCGAAGAACATCCGGTATGGATGCTCTTCAATTTCACGGTTATGTGCTGATTTGTGTTGGTAAATCACAAAAAATCCAAACAAAAGCCTGTGGTTGTGACATGACAAAATTTGAAAACAGATTCTTAAAAAGTCTTAAAACGAAGTCTGTCTTTAAAGGCCTTCTCAAGTGAAGGCCTTTAAATGTCTTAAAGGCTTTAAAGAAATTGGCCTTAAATACATTAATCACAGGTTTTAAATTTTGTTGTGGGAGGACTATTTAATGTTGCATATTGTAAACGTATATATGTCTGTGTGGGGATTTTTTCTCCTGAGACTTTCCTGTCAGGCAAAAGTTTGAGTCGCACACAAACATCTTCACTTCTTGCCTTGACTCGTGGAGGCTGAGGCTACCGCTAACTAGCTGCTATTTTGCTAAATTAGCAAGTTTCTATGCCTGCTAATATAGCAGCAAGCAGATACTCTTGCTGCACATGCTGGTTTGATGAGTTTTTTTTTTAATCCCTCAAGTATATATTTGTATTTTTGAAATATCAGTATCAGCTAGTTAATTCTAGTGTTAGCTAGCTATTAACTAGCTAGCATTTTTGTGTCTAGAATGAGTAAGTTCAAATTTCTCGCCAGTTATTTTGGACGTTCGTTTTCACCACTAGCTGTATTTTGTTGAGGTTAGAGGTTCATTATGAGCAAAACAAAAACTTGCTAGGCTGCTAACAGAACCCATAAATTTCACTGTTTTGTTTCTATGCTTGTGTTACTGTTCTTTGTTTATCAGCAGGTTGTCTCCACAGAAGGCACTCAGACTCACTGTATTTATTTCAACAAGAGATAAAAAAAAATCTTTACACAAACTGTAAAGAGCAGCACAGCTTAACTTATATACCAATAAAATGTCAGGAGAAATAACTTTGACAAACTGCACATCTAAAATATTGTTAAAATAATTGTTAGAGTTGATTGTAACACAGCAGGATCCCCCAGCAGTTTTATTCAGAGTGGATTATATAGATAGGTCGTTAAAAGTCTGAAATTTTACCTCTTGAAACCAGCAGATGCTCTTAAAAAAACTCTGTGAAATGCAAATACTTTTGAAAACACTACTATCACAGCTTGAACACATGATGAACCTTATCTATGTTTTTCAGATATTTTTTTTTTCCCCCCTCGGGAGATCGCTAATTTCCCACTCATCGCTAAAAACATTTCTGTCTGTCGTCTACATAACTCAAAGAATTGCTCATTGCGTGACTTATTTTAAGCTGTTGTCCTCCCGCCCTCCTCTTTACGTTCTCCACTAAAGGTCGAGTGGGAGCGTGTTTCTCTCGCTCGACGTTATCTACGATGTGCGAAGGCAGTGCCGCTCCAAATCCAAACCAGACCGCTCGTTTGAGAGGAGCATTCTCTCAGCAGGGGGAGTGTTTTAGTTTTTCTCTCTCTCTCTGCATCTATGAGGTGCAGGGCCTTCACCAGAACAACACCACCTGCAGCAGACTGCATGACCCTCATAAAGCACGCGCTGGAATGTGCTGGAACAGCCGCGTCTGTTAATCTCGGTGAAGACATTTTTGTTGGCTGATCTCGACGTTTGACAGGGTTGAGGGCTGTGGGGGTGAGAATGGGGCAGAGCAAGTCTTAAGGTTCAGAGAGACATAGCTGCATAGCTTCTCCAGACCAAGTCGAGCAGTAAATTCTGCCTCCGTAGGAAACTACGTCGGCTGACGTTCACAGCTGTTCCCCCGGTTTATTTTTACAGAGCAGATAAGACGTTCCGGTTTCTCCCACAACAACCCTTGAGTTTGTCTGCTCCGTCCTGAGGGTGCAGCGCAGCCTGGCAGAGGAAGAGGCGGCGCTATTGGAGTCTTATGCTTGTGTTTATTGTAACGGCCTCTAATCCACTCAAGGCGAACCCTCCCACTAATGTTGTAAGCCGTTTGCACGTGTGGCCAACACTGGCAGCGGCGGAGGAGAGCGCTCAGCCTCAGAATAGAGTTTAAGAGATAAAACCGACTCATTGTCGACAATGAAATGTAAGTTTCTTGTTTCTGAGGAGGCTTTGGACCTCCTACTGCTGCTGCAGCTGTTTCTAAAACATGTGTGGTCTCAGTTGTCATGACGCCACCTGTCAATCAGGCCAGTGGGCTCGTCAGCAACAGACCAATCAGCGGTCGTAAGGGACCTTTACTTTCCTGAAGTATAACTACAACATGTTCATCCGTATGATTGATTGATTTTATGTAAATGGCACAGTGAGTATTAATAATATGAGTACAATGTACGTAATTATGCCGGATTTAGCAAAATGCTAATTTCCATCCATAGTCCCACAAAACAAACGCATTCACTCAATTTGATACAGAAAAATATGAAAAACAGTAAAAACAAAACAAAAAAAAACTATATACAGTCAAGAAGCTCTTTTTTATTATGTGTTTTCCAGGCATATAGTGTCATTTTATAGCACAATCAAGTAACTATGTCACCTTCAGTTGCTATAAAAATGCTGAGTTTATCAAATATGACTGAAAAGAAATTTAACTTTGTAATTAACCTCCCTGAATTTGGGCCTCTGTCTCTTTAAGAAGCTCCTCTTCTTTCTGGAGCTCCGCCTTCAGGAAGTCATCACCACATGGCTCCTCTATTAGCCCTTTAACACGTTTTTACCAGCGTCGCAGTGAGAAGTAGCTTGTACGATGAGCTGAGCAGATTCCAGCAGGTGTTTGCTAATTGCTGCTGGCTAGTCTGAAGGAGCTGAGTGGGGAGCTGAGGAAGCTCAGAGGCTTTAAAGCTACATGTCGAAGGAGGAGCTTCATCCTCGAAGGCGGTGCTGGAAACACCCACTCGTTTGGCACGGTTGAATGGTTGTCATGGAGAACGAAGGATTTCTAAAGCTGATTCTGATTCTGAATTTGTCGATCTGTGAATTTCAAAAGAGGAGACATCAATACTGTAATCTGGTCAGTTAGAAAAGTTGAACTATCAGCTCAATGTGACCGTCGCTTAGAAAGAACAAAAGACATTTTTGTTGATATTTGACTGATCTTGTCTGTGTGCAGGAGTCATATCGCCAGGTGATGAAGATGAGGCCGAAGGACCTGTGGAAGAGGCTGATGGTGAAGTTCAGGGGTGAAGAAGGCCTCGACTACGGGGGCGTGGCCAGGTCAGCACATCCAGTGGTTTTTTCCTTTCAGCCAAATCATTTTATCGGTCATGTTTCATCACACTGGCATGCAAAAGTATTAAAACTCCTTGAAATTTTCCATATTTTGTCTCAGAACAACCACAAGTTCTCTATTGGCGTGTTTTTGTTGTTGTTGTTGTTTTTCATTGTTTTCAGAAATAATATGAAAAATGTAGTGTATAGTGAAGTCTATGGGGGCACTGATTGTCACTGATCA